AGACAGCAACGCAACTGAAATGTTCCCAAGTCCAGAAACGTAACAAAAGAAAAGGAAAAAAAAGACTTTATTCAACAATTCGTCTCCTCCGCGTCACCCTGTAGTGCCATTTTGGAGAATATCCGCTGGACGTAAACAGCGTATGCTGTTCTGTGTCAGCTGCATCACACGGATACGCTGTTTTCGTTCAGATCAAATCACAACAACGTAGGAAACCGATCCGGCGTGACGCAGATCATTTATTATATCATTTTGAAAATGCTTATTTCGAGTGGAAGCAGAAATGGGCTGTGCATTTCTCTTTAAATGCAAATGAGCTACTGCTCTCCGCCCCCTTTTCCAGAATAGAGCTGTGCCTTTACAGCTCATACCTCAGATACTCTGCTAAAAACATCAGTTTGGTTTTGATTAGCCTCTTCATGTCTATCACGCAGAAATCATGTGTTTTAAACCATATTAGTTTAAACTTCTGTTTTCTGAGCGCACAGAAAGCAGCTGCGCACAGCATGCGAGTAATAAACGAAGTTCTCTTTCATGTCGTATTGCGCTTAAGCTGTCAAATACACACGTTTAAAAATGCATTAGTTACAAAAACACAGTCGGTTATGTCTGTGAAGGTAAACAGCTGGGAAAGAAATTGCATTTTTATACTAGATCTGTGTATTAAGTGAAAGCAGCGTAATATTCAGTACCTACTGCTGTCTATGTTGTTAATATGAACGAAACCATAAAATAAAAGCAGAAAATCACTCACTGCTCTGGACTGAATAACTTTTATAGATTTAATAAGACGTTTCTTTCTTACTTTACTACTTATTTTAAATGCTGTAGCGTGAAGATAAACATGGCGGATTGTGTCACTCAGCGCGGTTCTCTCCTAATACGGCAGTGTCTGTTAACAGTTGGGGGCGGGGCTTGTAAAATGTGACATAATTTTACAGATTGAAAAAAAGGAACGAGCAGGTTTTTATTATTATAGGGTGGTTGTGTACACACTGCCAACACACATGTATGTTCAAACAACATGTAAAAGTGAATTTTGCATAATGGGTGCCTTTTTAAAGCATTTTTAAATGCAAACTGTTGCTTTTGGCTAAAATACCATAGTCCATAATCAATACTACCGCTTCCTTCAGTGAAAAACTCCATCCCCTGTTGTCCTCCCACATATTTGTTTAGGAATGTTTTGGCTTGTAAACTGTGCATATTTCTCACCTGTTTGAGACCAGATGAATTTTTCACATTTCGTCTTGATGGATTTGTTTCTTACAAACAGGCAGCGTTTCACTTCTTCACAAGACGTTAACTGATGGACTGGAGTGGTGTGGATTATTGTGGTGTTTTTATCAGCTGCTTGAACTCCTAAATAATGTGCTGCTTGTTGACAGGTGGCAGTGTGAAAATCAAACCAGGTGTCAAATCCAAATCTGGACCTGGCACTGCACAATCAGACCGTCTGCCTGCCCTGGCCTCTGCTGATGGCAGTGAGTCGTGTGAGGCGGAGCGCTGCAGCGGTCACGGGACATGTGTGAGTGTGGAGGGTGAGCCGGTGTGTGAGTGTGAGGAGGGATACAGCGGGGATCTGTGTCAGAACGCCGCCTCCAGCAGCACTGCGCTCGCGCTCACACTCACCTTTCTCTTCGGAGGTGCTCTGATGGCCGCCGTCGTCCTCAAGAGGAGGTTCATCATTTCTTAATTATAGTAGATGTTGATTTTATTAAGCACATACTTGTATATCATACTATCCCCCCACCCCCTTGATTATATTTGCAGAAGGGCACAAGCAGCGAGGGAAGAGGCCACTGAAAAAGAAACGCTTGTGACTGACGTGGAAGAGCACACAACCTACTCTCAAAACTTTGCTAATGAGTTGTACGATCCTGAAGAGGTACGATGAGGTTTCTATAATTTTTCTATACTAGTTACATGTATATATTTATATGCATGACATTCTTTTAGAGAACAAAAGGAGATGTTTTAAAGAATGTTTACACGGCTGTTTTGCATACAGTGGGATTAGAATTGTTTTCTTTTTATGTTGGGTTTTTTTCTGATAAATAGACTATGATCCACAAATAAATGAGAAATTTACAAAAAAATGTAACTTTCACAAATAAATAGGGTAAGATTTGCGAGTTAAATTTGTAAATATTTATTTTTAAATCTAATTAGATTTTTGTGGAAGTAACATTTTCTTTTTGGATCTCATTCTATTTGTTTTTGCAAATAAAAAAAAATACATACAATATTTGTGAACGTTACATTTTTTATCAGTCTCATCTTAATTGTGAATGCATTTTTTTGTGAATCTTATTACTTTTATAAAAGCCTAATAATATCTTTATCCAGAAATGTGGAAAATGTTTTTTTTTTTTTTTTTTTTTTTTCCGTACAAATATTTTGTACTTTCATTGTATGGAAAAGAGCAGCCTGGATATTCTGCTAAACCTCTCCTTTTGTATCCCACATAGGAAAAATGGTCATAGAGCTTGGGAATGATAAAAAACATTATTTGTGAAGTAGAATTAAGAATTTTCTTTCTTACATTAATTCAGAATTTAATCTTATGACTCTTTTTCTCTTTCCTGTAGGCTCCGATTACTCCAGCCATTACCACCCCTGTTGTCAGCTAATGCTTTTTTCTTCTTTTTTTTGGTCTAATAAAAAAAATAATAATATTGCAAGAAATATGGTGTGGTTCACTTTTTTTTTAAATTTCAATAAAAATAATAAAAAAATAAAATTAAACTACCATTTCATGTTATTTTTTAACATTGCAAAGTCCAATGTCAAGAAAAGAGCTTGTTGCATATAAACTTGCCACAGATGTCGAAACAGCAGGTACTTGAAATAATTCTCAATAAATATTTACACAGTATTTCACAGAGGAAACCGCAGGGTTAATGCCAGAACAGAAACCTAATGGGATTGTGAAACCAAAGAGAGTCTAGTTTTTATTGGAAGTCTCAATTAAAGCAATTATAATTAATTATAGCCTGAAACTACATGTACTTTTATATGCAAGAAGTAGATCTGCAGTCCTGTGTCCTATTATTTTTTTTTTGTCTATCACACATTTACAAATGTAGTTTTACAGTCTTTCTCGTTTTATAGTTGTATGTTTCCTATAACTCTTAAGTTCAAAGCTTCGAGGTCTTTATTGCTTGGTCATTTGAGTTGCTTCTTTAAATAACCTGCTGCTCCTCCTTGGGCTTCAGTCTCCTTCTATGCACAACACAAAGTCTTGTTTGGTTATGCAAACCCAGGCCTACTTTCAATACTTTCTCTTTTCTCCAACCCATCCCCCATTTGAAACATGAACCAGTACCTGAACAAGAGGAAGAGGCTTGCTTGTGTGAATCAGTCTTTGTGCCATCAGAGTTTGTGGAACAAAATTCAAATATGACACATTTGGTTTAAACACCTCGTTTGCGTCTACAGATATCAGAAGGATACCAGCGTAAAGAACAAGTGTACGGTTTATTTTTAATGGCATCCCTGGTGGTGTCAGAGGATTGATCGGAGCATTTTGTTTTGTAAACGAGGCACCGTGTCATGGAGAGTTCACTAAGAAACATTTGTTGAAAGATGAAGCGGTACTAGATCTGACTGCTGCTGCATCACAAACCTAAAGTAATGATTTCATAATGCTTTGTCTGGAAATGGCAGTTTTGTTTTTGATAATGTTGTCAAAACGCTCACATGCAGTAGCTAGGGGGCATTCATACTGTTTCCCATGCAATGACATTAGCCAATCATAACTGTGGCTGATTACTGACAAGCCTTAAAGGACACGCCCCTTAAAGCAGGTAGTTTTAGAGAGAGGGTCAGAATGAGGGTTGAAAATATTTTTTTTTTCCATATTTTTGTGTTTTCCGAGCCAAAAAAACGTCATTAACATTATAAGTAACTCTCAAGGAACATATTAAAATAATTAAAAAATATATCCATGTCATGACCCCTTTAAAAATAATAATAATAAAAATAACATTTACAACCGCATAAAGCAGAATCCAATATAAAGTAAAACAAATATGTGTTTCTATCAAAATCATCTTCAGTCCAAAAGGATCTTGCCCTTAAAGCAGGTAGTTTTCGAGAGAGGGTCAGAATGAGGGTTGAAAATATTTTTTTTCCCATATTTTTGTGTTTTCGGAGCCAAAAAAACGTCATTAACATAAGTAAACCTCAAGGAACATATTAAAATAATTAAAAAATATATCCATGTCATGACCCCTTTAAAAATAATAATAATAAAAATAACATTTACAACCGCATAAAGCAGAATCCAATATAAAGTAAAACAAATATGTGTTTCTATCAAAATCATCTTCAGTCCAAAAGGATCTTGTAACTTGATCAAAGGTGAGGACTTTAGATTCTGTGAGTGAGCAAAACGATTCCCTTTTACTTCAACCGAGGCTAAATGAATGTGTGAATCGGTTCTACGGAATGAATCGTTCACGAATCGGACGTTAACTTGCTGAGATCCATTAACCTATTTATATAGGCACATTTTACATTAGCTACTCCTTAAAAAATACTATATTTTAAACACGTTTTGAGATGGTTGTAGCATGTCATTGTAGCAGTAGATTTAGCGAACTAGAGCTGTCAAAAGCGGTCCGAATGATTCGATTCGGACTCCGTAAATTGAGCTTGAGAACCAGGTAAAAGGTCACAGTTCTGTGTCCCGTTTTGTATTGTGCAATGTGTCTCTCTATACCGTTTCCATCCAAACATACAATAGAATTTAAGAATTCATTAACATCAGCTCACCTGCTGATACATACTGTGTGTTTTATGGTTGTTAAAATCAATTAACCCATGTATGTCTGTACATTTTAGGCTACTCTATAAAAAAAATACGTTTTTAAACACGTTTTGAGATGATTGTGCCATATTATTGCAGCAGTATTATAGAGTCGGCATAAAAACAGTTCTTTTCAATTTTGAACTGTCGCTGACAAACATTGACTGAATGATTCATGAGCGAACGAGTCAGTGATTCAGTCTCAGGCCTAGGGTTATGAGAGGATAACAACTTAATTATTGCAGTCTCTTAATTTTATTTAACTATAAAACATACCTGCATTAAAATACAAATGTTTTAAGGAAATACTTCATTTTTGCCCACCTTAGCCTACTCACGTGGCTTTATTAGGCGTTGCTGGCGTTGAACGGGACGCTCGCGGAAGTGTGTGAATGTTTATCGGGCGTCACGGCACCCGTGTGGCACATCCTGATCCTACACTGATTTAAATGTCGTCAAACTGTTACTCCGGTGCTATCTTCATCTGGCCCTTATTTGTCCTGTAAGCTGAGAGTTCACTCCTCCTTGGCCATGTGTTACCTGACAGGAGTTTGGTTTCACTGAGTGTTGTGGTGAATGGGTAGGTCTCTTTTCTGCTTGGGAACATTGCTTTATTGTTTCTGTCTCAATGCATTCATCTGTTCTAAAGCCATCTCTGTCACCATCTTTTCCTCGTTTGAACACAGGTAAACCCCTACAGTTTTGCATTCCAGTCATAGTTCTGAATGTGTGTTTGTCAGTTTTCACTTGGAACATGGTGAGTAGCCTAGATTTAAACGTGTACTCTATTTCGGTAGTTCTTTTGCCTTCGGGAGGCATTTGTCTGAGTATTTTAAGGGTGCGTCTTAAGTCTGTAAGCTGGCATCAAATGCACAGGCTGCCTGAACGCTTTCATTGCCAGTTAGGCTAACTGTTGTTATTGTTGGGGCTTGTGTGTTTCAGATGTCTTCATCATGTGTTAGTTTGTACCGTACATTCATTTGCTTGGAGGACTTGCTTTAAAAGAACTATACATTTTTGCCTGTGTTAAGTGATAACGTTTATGTTCATTTAGTATTTTTAAAGAATTAGTTTGTATTCCATAGTTTGTTTGTTTTTCTAAAGAATTTGTTCGCATTTTATTTTCTCAGAGAATTTTTTTTTCAACGTCTTATAAAGTCAACTGCAGTCTCATTTAGACGTCATTTATACTGCTGTCCATTGAAAACATATGGCTATATTTAGGGTCCATCACATGCAAATGTGTGAATATGACATACATATGAGAAAAATGACACATTTTTATGCTAAAAACTGTAGTAAGATTTTTAGAATTTATTTACATCTAAAATTGTGTAAACTATGCACAATACATGCAGTACATACTTTTAGGATCAGAAAGATTTGTTTCAAAACATATTTTTCTAAAATAAATATTTGAAATTGAAATATAAAAATATGTATGTCAAATAATTATTAAAATTTATTTTAAAATTTATCGTATTTTTATATTTATTTTAATATTTATAATTATATATTTTATAACTTTTTATCATGTTTATTTAAATATGTTAATGGTTTGTTTGTTTATTATATATTTTGTTTATTTCATATAAATATTTATTTCAAAAGATAAATATTTTTATTCTGCAAGGATGCATTAAATTGATCAAAAGACATTTATAATATTTCAGAAGATTTTATTTCAATTATTTTACATCACATTTTAAAATATATTAAAAGTTATTTTAAACTGTAACAGTAATTCACAATATTTCTGTTTTTATTCTGTTTTATCAGATGTCTTTTGGAAACATTAAAAAACCTATAAGTGATTGTAAATCATTGTTGTCTATTAATTCAGCTTATGCATTACCCCTAAACTGAGGAAAGTTGTCACTGCACCACTCTTTTTTTTTTTT